CCCCATGGGTGCCCATCACTCTCCCTTTCATCCTGTGGGTGCTGCTGTCCATGAAAGGAGCACACAGCCCTCAGGCCCAAGGGAGGGTGTGTGCAGCAGGAAGAACCAGCTCTCCAACAGAGATTCAATTTGTGGGGGCTGGAAACATCTTTTAGGCTGCTCGTTGGGGTGACTGAAATAATGCCCTTGTGAGCACAGGGACCAGCAGTGTCCTCACCCCCTCCTTGTGTCCTCGTTGGTGCCCCAGGGGGTTCTGGCCCTGAGGAGTGGAGAGTGACCTCATCCCACACTGCTCCTCACTGCAGCTCCAGACGAGTTCTCTGCCTTTGTCTTGCAGTTCTGATGCCGCTGTTGGATCACTGCAGCGTGCAGCCCGATGCCAGGGTCGCCTCCCACCCCTTCTTTGGGCTGAATGCCCAGATCAGGTAAGGCCTGGAGATGTTCTCAGCAAAGAGAAGGGATCGATTTTGCCGGCGGCGGGGATCTTGCATGCTCAGACTGCTGATGGAGGAGCTTGTTTGGGTTCCCTGAGTAGGCTCATTTGGTAATGCCTCATTTGATAATCCTTTTGATAATGCATTTCCATAATGGCCTCTGGATCGGGCTGACAGACCCACCTCAGCTCAAGGTGGACGGGTCAGAAGTTCACCCCAGAGCCTGGTGGTGTGTGCAGGGAGGGAGAGTGACCTGTGTGTCCTGCCAGGACAGGCTGTCTCCAACCAGTCTGCGTTCCCTTGACACGTGGTCTTCCTCAGCGTGCGAAGGCTCTCCCTCAGGCCAGGGCAGTGTTCCCTCATTTCATGGCTCTGCTTAGCCTAAAAATAGATGGAGGCAGAAGTTCTGGATGGTGAAGTGGATGGCAATATCCAGGCAGGAGCCTGCGAGTCCTCTCGTGTTCCCACGCCGAAGGCCAGCGCAGAGCTGAGCCCTCGCCATCCTGTGAGGAGCAGGAGGAGGAGGAGGGTGCCGTGAGTAACAGCCATCTCCCGTAGCCAGTCGCCCGCCCTGAACCAGCTGACATCCCTGTACGTGGGCAGGACACACGCCCTGTGGAAGGACCCGGCTGTCATGGCCTGGCTGGAGCCCCACGTCCACGAGGTTCTGCGCATGGTGGACGCCCAGGACGCGCTGGTGCAGGAGGCTGAGCACAAGTGAGCACAGAGGGTGGAGGGCAGGGTTCCTGTGCCAGGGACAGGGGACAAAATGGGACAGAGGGTCTGTCCTGGGCAGCAGCAGTTCCAGTGTCTGGGGCAGGCTCAGAACCCCACAGCTGCTGGTCTGATGCTGAAGGTCACATCATGGGGCCAGGAAGGCAGTGGCTCTTCCATGCTTTTCACAAATGGGAATGCGGAGCTGAACCTGCACTGCATATCCTGCGCTGCCTTCCCCAGGCTTGGCTGTCACCTGTACCCTGGAAACATCCTGGAGAGGGTGGAGGGATGGCCTGGAAGGGCAGGGATAGCCACACAGGGCAGGTGAGAGCTTAGAAACACTTCCCAGTGCTGAGAAACAGGAGAGAGCTCTCAGGTGTCCTAAACCAAGGTCAATCTGCTCATTCCTGAGCTCTCTGCTCTTTCTCCAGAGCTCAGCAGCTCCCACCCACTTTGGCTCGCTCTAAGCCAGCTCCATCCAATATGGCCTTGTCCCCCAGAGCCAGGGAAGCTGCTGACACTGCGCCTGGAGCAGCAGAAATGGGAATGTGCCTGCTCAGGGCTCACTGCTCTGTCCCCTCCCCGCCTCAGGAGGAAGATCCGGTACCAGAGCGCTCCCAGGAACATCTACAGGCACATCATCCTCTCGGAGATGAAGGAGGCCACGGCAGCCCTGCCTCTGGTGAGGGGCCTGATGGGCCACAGGGGCTGTGGCTGCACGTGTTGTGGTGGCATTTGTGTCCCTGCTGGGCTGGTCCTAACCCCGTCACTCATGGCTTCTGTGGGTGCCCATGTTTGCTGCTGCTGGATGCACAGCCTTCATTCCTTCCTTTCTCCCTCATCCCTCCTTTCTCCTCTCCCTGCAGGAGGTGACCTCCCAGCCAGTGATGGGGTTTGACCCCCTCCCTCCTCTGGATTCCATTGTTTCCTACACCCGACCAGAAAGGTACCACCTCCTGCACTGGCACAGCCGGCCATGTTCCCTCAGCCCCAGGCCAGGCTGCGCGCGGGCACTCGGTGCTGGCATCCTCCTCCTTGGCAGAGGAAGAGCTGTGGTGCTCCAGGCAGGCACAGCTACAGGCTGGACTGGTCCTGCTGCTTCCCACAGTGGTCATTCCCAGCCATAGGGCAAAAGCCAGGGAAAACCCAGGCCACGGCTGACTGGGAGGGTTGGGGGTAAATGGAAATTTAAATACAGCCAGTCCTGGTGTTGGGGTGATGCCATGTGTGTGTTCCACACCAATCCACTCAGAGCAGAGCTGGTAAGATCATGGAATCCTGGAATGGTTTGGGTTCAAAAGACCTTAAAGCTCATCTCATTCTACCCCCTGCAATGGGCAGGGACCTTTTCCAGTAGACCAGGCTGCTCCAAGCCCCTTCCAACCTGCCCTTGCTTGTGCTCTTAGTGACTGGTTTGCTCAGAGTTGCCTGAATTCATTGGAATTCAGTTCCCTCCCTCAGGGCTGGTTCCAGCAGCACCATGGTTCCCCAGCACCGCCCACATCCCAGTGAGGAGTCACAAACTGAGCTGTACCTTCACCATGGTGCCACTTGTGTCTTGCAGGACGAGCCATCCCTCCAACGAAAGCACTTTATCCCTCTTCTTCCGCTCGCTGTTGCCAAATTTTAACTTGCAGGTGAGTGCACGCTGGGATTTGGGTGCACCGCTCCCCCGTGGTGTTCCTGCTCCAGGAGCCGCTGCTGGCAGCAGCCTGCTGCTGATTTGGCACCACTGTCCCCGTCCCTGCCATCACAGTGCTGCTCTCTCGTAGGGGGACATCCGGCACGACGGGGACGACGAGGCCGGGGCGGCGCAGGACCTCAACCAGGGGGTGAACAGGCTGATGGCGGCCATGCGGGACATGCTGGCCAACATCCAGTTCCAGGAGCCCCCCCGCGAGGACAATCCCGAGGGCGACGGCGACTGGGATTGAGCCGGGGTGTCCCTCCCCAGCCCCTCCGGCGTCACCCCCCGGTTTGTGTCGTACTCCAATAAAGTCACACAGATGGACTCGCTGTGGGAATGGGCTGTTCTGAGCAGGGGGCTGCATCCGTGGCATGGTCTCCATCCAGGGAGGGGGGCTGAGGCCACAGCCAAGGGCCTTGTCCAGGGCCCCTCTCTCAAAGGGGACGAGGGCTGTCTGAGCATGTCCAAGCTAATCAACAGCAGCTGTCCCTTGTCCCCATGGCAGCTTAGTCCCCTTCTGGCCTCCTCTACACACAATTTCCATCCTATTCCCCTCCCTGTTCTCCTGGCTCTTGTCCTTAATTCCCAGAGGGGTTTTACTGCCCTCTTCTTCAGCTCCTTTGTGCTTCCCGTAGCCTGGAGCTTCCTTCCCTCCACAAAACACTCTGCACCCTCACTACACTGAACCTTCCAAAGGTCTGAGAGTCCCCTGTGCCACTAGAATTGTGCATGGAGCAGCTTTTTCAGTTTTTAATTATGTTTGGAGAAGAAATCTTTCCCCCCTTCTTTGTTTGTCTATCCTTTATTCTCTCACCTTCACCTAGAGCAAGGAGTGAGGTAAGCCACAGTCAAACCTTAACTCATCCTTGTTCCCATAAAGCTTTTTTCCCTTTTTTTGCTGAGTAATGGTGAATACATGGAATAAATCCCTGTTGCTGCTGTATTGCCTCCCGGGGGGATGTAGCTGGGCTCGGTGTGCAGACCCCGAGTCTCAAGCCAGCCCGCCCTGGCTCCATTCCCCACTGGTATATCCAAATCCCATGGAATCCCATCCCCATAATTCGGCACCGGGGCAGCCTGGGACCCCATGCCCAGTGTGTGCAGCTGAGCCATTTTCATGCCTGCCAGAGGGAAGGGCTTCCCAGCGGAAGTGGATAACCGTGGGATCAGCCTGCCCGTGGAGCTGTGAATGGCTCTTTGGCAGCCGCGCGGCTCCAGGCATCAACACGGAGCGAAGGCACATGATGGTCAGATGGGCCCTGTCCCCACAGCCTGCCTGGGCTCCCTCCGGCGCCGGGCTCGGCAGCGTCCCATTTAACCGTGCCTTTGACGATTCCTATCGCGTCCCATGCCAGCCCGTTGTACAACATCTTCCCTGGGGCCGTGGCCATGGCACCCTCCCAGTGCCAGTGCGTGGGACAGCCCGGAGCGTGCAGTGCAGAGGGTCCCATGGGTCCCCAAGGCGCGTGGATAGCTCAGGGGGTGTGGATGACCCCCACAGCAGATGGGACCCCTCAAGGCAAGAGTCCCACAGGACACACTGACCTCCATAGGACACAGGCCTGCAGGGCACAGGGGACCCCTCAAGATATGCAGGCCCCCAGGGTTCAGGGGTCCCCCCAGTGACACAGGACCTCAGGACATGTGGGGACCCTAAGGTGCACAGTCCCCCAGGGCACAGAGGACCCCTATGGCAGCGTCCCCGGGGTGTATGGACCACCCCAGGGCATTTGAGACCCCTGGGCACATGGTGATCCCAAGCAATCGGGGTTCCCAGGGCCATCCTGGGGGTGTCTCAGCCCTGGCCTCGGCAGCGGCCCCTCTCACTGCCGGGGTGCCTCCCTCACGCAGGTGCCCACCCTCCTCGGAGGAGGAGCTGCAGGAGCCGCTTTAAAGTGGGGCAGAGAAAGGGCCCTTTCTTCCCCAGCACCCTGGGCCGGCGGGCGTGGGACGCCGGGCAGCGCTGGCACGGAGAGCGGCCGCCACACCGGAGGGTCCCGGCGGGCACACGACACCCCCGGCACATCCCAGGCCTCCCGTCCCCAATTCCTCGGCATCCCCTCGGCCTCGCCGCCGGGCGCCGCGGGAGAACTGGCGGGGCACAACGGGGGCTCGGGGGCTGTGCGGGTGCCACGGGGGGCCCCGGGGCTGAGGAGGGGGTCATGTCGACGCTGGCCCCCCTGCGTCTGCTGCGCGAGCCCTCGAATGCCAGCGAGGGCAACCACAGCAACACCACGGTCGGGGCCGGTGGTGGCTGGTGCCAGGGGCTGGACATTCCCAACGAGCTGTTCCTGGCGCTGGGGCTGGTGAGCCTGGTGGAGAACCTGCTGGTGGTGGCAGCCATCCTGAAGAACAGGAACCTGCACTCGCCCACCTACTACTTCATCTGCTGCCTGGCGGTGTCGGACATGCTGGTGAGCATCAGCAACCTGGCGGAGATGCTCTTCATGCTGCTGCTGGAGCACGGGGTGCTGGTGATGCGCCCCAGCATCGTCCGCCACATGGACAGCGTCATCGACACGCTCATCTGCAGCTCCGTGGTCTCGTCCCTCTCCTTCCTGGGGGTCATCGCCGTTGACCGCTACATCACCATCTTCTACGCGCTGCGCTACCACAGCATCATGACCCTGCAGCGCGCCGTGGTCACCATGGCCAGCGTCTGGCTGGCCAGCACCGTCTCCAGCGCCGTCTTGATCACCTACTACCGCAGCAACACCGTCCTCCTCTGCCTCATCGGCTTCTTCCTCTTCATGCTGGTCCTCATGCTGGTGCTCTACATCCACATGTTCGCCCTCGCCCGCCACCACCTCCACAGCATCTCCAGCCAGCAGAAGCCACCCACTGCCCACCGTGGTGGCAGCCTGAAGGGCGCCGTCACCCTCACCATCCTCCTGGGCGTCTTCTTTATCTGCTGGGGGCCCTTCTTCTTCCACCTCATCCTCATCGTCACCTGTCCCACCAACCCTTTCTGCACCTGCTTCTTCAGCTATTTCAACCTCTTCCTCATCCTCATCATCTGTAACTCGGTGATTGACCCCCTCATCTACGCCTTCCGGAGCCAGGAGCTCCGGCGGACGCTGCGGGAGGTGGTGACGTGCTCCTGGTAGGCAGGGGGACACGGTACCGGCACGGCCACCCCCGCCCTGAAATGGACGGATGGACGGACTGACGGATGGACAGGACGAGCCGCGGGGTGCCCGGTCCGGGCGAGGGACTCGCGGTTCCCAATAAAGGCTCTTTGCAGTGATGCTGTGACTGGCATCGGGCGGCCCCGGGGAGCCCCGAGGGGAGAGGTCCCTCCCGGTCCCGCCGCTCGGTCAAGGGTCACTTGCTCCCGGCGGGAACCGGGAAGGACCGGCTGGGCGGCGGGAGGCTGGACCCTGCGCGCGGGGTGGTCCCGGCCGCCCCCGGACAAAGGGCCCATCACCGTCGCCTTTGTTCTCGGGCCGCGCCCGCCGCCGCCCACCTCGGCACCGGCACCGGCACTGTCCCCGGTCCCGCGGGGGCGACGGGCGACCGGGACCCCCAAGGTGGCCCTCCCGTACCCTGTCCCTACCCCTCCCCGTTCCAGGACGCGGTTGGGAAGGGTGTCCCCTGTGTGTCCCCCCGCCCTGCCGCCGCCGCCGCCGCCGCCGCCCCGGGATGCTCCCGCCGCCGCCGGGTGGTCCCATGGCACCCGCACGGCTCCCGGGGTGTCCCCGCTCCCCGTGGGTGCCGGGGGCGCCCCCCCGGCCGTGCCCCCCGCGGGTGCCGGTGTCCCCGCTCCGCCGCGGCGGGGCGTGGCCGCGGGCGGGGCCGGCCCGCCCGCCGGGGGTCCCGGCGCCCCCCGCCCTGCTCGGGATTTTGGGTGTCTGGGGGATCCCCCTGCCCCCGCCCCGCTGAGCCCTGTCCCGGGGTTTGAGGAGTCCTGATACCCCCCGCCCTGCTCGGGATTTTGAGGGATCCCGGTGCCCGCCGCCCCGCTGGGACCTGCCCAGCCGTTTGGGGAGTCCCGGTGCCCCTCGCCTCTCCCTGTCTGGGGATTTCAGTGTTTGGGGTATCCCAGTGCCTCTTGCCCCACCCAGCCCTGCCTAGGGATGGGAGGATCCCGGTGCCCCGTGCCTCGCCCGGGGGCCTGGGGGTGTTCCAATGCCTCCCACCCTGCTGAGCTCCCCGTCCTCCCCAGTTCTGGGAGGTGATCAGCGACGAGCACGGCATCGACCCCAGCGGCAACTACGTGGGGGACTCGGACCTGCAGCTTGAGCGCATCAGCGTCTACTACAATGAGGCCTCTTGTAAGCGACCCCCCCTCGGCACCTCCCTGGCACGGCAGCCTGGCACCCCCGCCCTGGGCTGGGGTGGGGCCCCAGTCTGACCCCCCCAGTGCAGGAGGAGCTGGGTCTGCTGGGATGGGGAGGGGGGCACATAGACAGACCCACCCCATGGAGGTGTGGGGTGGGCAGGCACGTGCACCCCCATTTCGTTTGGGGCAGGGGGAAATCGTGCACGCCCAGTTCCATGGGACCCTGCGATTTGGGAGGGGTCACACACAACACCTGCACCCCAGCCCTGTTGGCCCAGGGAGGGCAGACATGTGCACCCACCCCCTGAGACCCTGCACTGTGGGGGGGCAGGGGGCACATGTTCCTCCAAGTTCATGGGACCCTGTAGGTGGGTGGGGGCATGACACATGTCCCACCCCATGGGACACTGTGGTGTGAGGGGGACACCACACATGCACCCAGTCCCACGGGACCTTGGGGTTTGTGGAGAGAGGGACACCTGCACTGGCCCTGTAGCATCCTGTGGTGTGGGAGGGACAAAACACCAACATCCCCCCAGCCCACGGGGAATGGGGCAGACATGTGCACCCACCCCATGTGACCCCCATTGTTTGGGGGGCACGAGACATGCACCCACACCACATCTGGGATTTAGGGAGGGAACACAACCTGTGTACCCAGCCCCATAGAACCCTGCAGGGTGGAGGGAGCACCCCTGGGTCGGGATGGGGGGGCGGCAGCAGGTCCCCTCCCGTCATGGGGTCTCTCTCAGCTCACAAGTACGTGCCTCGCGCCATCCTGGTGGACCTGGAGCCGGGGACGATGGACAGCGTGCGCTCGGGTGCCTTCGGCCACCTCTTCCGCCCTGACAACTTCATCTTCGGTAGGTCCCCTGGGAGGGAGGGAGGGAGGGAGGGAGGGGTGCACCGTGCCCCGATGTTTCCCCAGCCCCAGCATCCTCGGACCCGCCCGGCCAGTCGCCATCCCCGGGGCACTCGGCGGGCACACCCCTCCCGCGCCGCGGGGCCCGGCGCTGCCGGCTCGCCGCCAAACCTCTGCGGTTCCTGCTTCCCACCCCGCCCCGGCGTCAGATCTCCCCGGTGCTGCCGGCGGCAGCGGCTGGTCCCAGCCCCGATCCTCTCCCCGCTCCCCTCGGGCCGTGGGCGTGGGGGCCAGCGGCCATCGGATCCTCTTTTCTTTTCCCAGGGCAGAGCGGTGCCGGGAACAACTGGGCCAAGGGGCACTACACAGAGGGGGCCGAGCTGGTGGACTCGGTGCTGGATGTGGTGCGGAAGGAGTGCGAGAACTGCGACTGCCTGCAGGGCTTCCAGCTGACCCATTCCCTGGGCGGCGGCACCGGCTCGGGCATGGGCACGCTGCTGATCAGCAAGGTGCGCGAGGAGTACCCCGACCGCATCATGAACACCTTCAGCGTGGTGCCGTCCCCCAAGGTGTCCGACACGGTGGTGGAGCCCTACAACGCCACGCTGTCCGTGCACCAGCTGGTGGAGAACACGGACGAGACCTACTGCATCGACAACGAGGCGCTCTACGACATCTGCTTCCGCACCCTCAAGCTGGCCACCCCCACCTACGGCGACCTCAACCACCTGGTGTCGGCCACCATGAGCGGCGTCACCACCTCCCTGCGCTTCCCGGGCCAGCTCAACGCCGACCTGCGCAAGCTGGCCGTCAACATGGTGCCCTTCCCGCGGCTGCACTTCTTCATGCCCGGCTTCGCGCCGCTGACGGCGCGCGGCAGCCAGCAGTACCGCGCCCTCACCGTGCCCGAGCTCACCCAGCAGATGTTTGATGCCAAGAACATGATGGCCGCCTGCGACCCCCGCCACGGCCGCTACCTCACCGTGGCCACTGTCTTCCGTGGCCGCATGTCCATGAAGGAGGTGGATGAGCAGATGTTGGCCATCCAGAGCAAGAACAGCTCCTACTTTGTGGAGTGGATCCCCAACAACGTCAAGGTGGCCGTGTGCGACATCCCGCCGCGGGGGCTGAAGATGTCCTCCACCTTCATCGGGAACAGCACGGCCATCCAGGAGCTCTTCAAGAGGATCTCGGAGCAGTTCACGGCCATGTTCCGGCGCAAGGCCTTCCTGCACTGGTACACGGGCGAGGGCATGGACGAGATGGAGTTCACCGAGGCCGAGAGCAACATGAATGACCTGGTGTCCGAGTACCAGCAGTACCAGGACGCCACGGCCGAGGAGGAGGGCGAGATGTACGAGGACGACGAGGAGGAGTCGGAGGCGCAGGGCGCCAAGTGACGCCCGCCGCGCCCAGCACTGCCCGCGGCCCCCCGGCTTCGCGCTGCTGCAGCCCCAGGTGCTGCTCCCCCCGCCGTCCCCTCAGTGTCTCCTGACCCCATTCCCCCCTGAGCCGGCTCGGCCCCTCGCCCCCCCTTCCTACCTCCCCCCTTTTCGTTTTTTACTGGTTTGTGTCTTATTATTTTTTTTGAATACTTAATAAATTTATTGCTGTCCAGGTACTGCCTGTCTGTGCCTGCTGGGTAGGGGGGACAGGGGACACCCACACTGTTCAGCTCCCCCAGCCATTCCCAGCCAGAGGAGGTGTTTGGGAAGCCCCCATGCACTGCGCCCCACCCTCAGATCCAGCTGCCCCAGGCAGGCTGTGCCTTTGTCCCCACTGTCACCCTTCTCCATGCTGGGGGGGTGTGGCAGGACACAGCTGGCCCTTTGTTCCCCAATCTGAGGTGGTAGCACAGACCCCAGGGTGTTCCCCAGGGCTGGGTGTGTGCCCAGCTGTGGAGGACTCAGCACACCCCTGGACCTGAGCCCCCGGTTTTGGAGACCATTGACCGGCAGGGCTGTGGGCTGTAGGAACAAGGGGCTGTGGGGATGGGGACACTGGGGATGAAGGCTGTAGGGGTGGGGTCTGTAGGGGTGGAGACAGTGAGGATGGAGGCTGTGGGTTGTGGGGATGGGGGCTGTAGGGACAAGGTATGGTAGGGCTGGGGGTTCTGGGGCCGGGGGCTGTCGGGGTGACAGGAGGGGCTGCGAGGCCCTCGGGGGGCTGGGATGCGTGGACGGTGCCGGTACGTGGTGACCGTGGGCCGAAGCGGGCGGTGGCGGCGGGGCAGGGCGGGGGCACGGGCGTGGGAGGCGGAGAGACGCGTCTGTCCGCGGGGACCGAGACGGGAACGGGAACGGAGACGGCGACGGGGTATGGTGCCAGCACCGAGGTGTCGGGGACGGGGGCGGTGCTGGGGTGGTGGTGCTTGTGACAGAATGCCGGTGCCGGTGTTTGTGCCGGTGGCGGTGTGTCGGTGTGTCGGTGTCACTGCCGGTGCCGGTGTCGGTGTGTCGGTGGCAGTGCTGGGGTTTCTGTGGGTGTACCCGGGTGTCGGTGTGGGGGTGTCAGTGCCCGTGCCGGGGTTTCAGCGTTGCTGTAGGGGTGCCGGTGCCGGTGCCGGTACCCCCGGTGGGTGTACCGGGGTGTTGCTGCTGCTGGGGAGGTGGCGGTGCTGAGGTGGCAGTGCCAGGGGGGTGGTGCCGGCGTGTCAGTGCCGGTGCTGGGACATCAGTGCCGTGACAGGCTGTTGGTGACAGTGCCGGTGCTGCCGAGGTGCCATTGGTGCCTGGGATGGGGTGATTGTGCCGGTGCCTGTGACGGGGTGCCGGTGGTGGTGCCGGTGCCCGTGCTGGGCTGACTCAGGCGGTGTCCTCTGGCCAGCAGGACGGTGGCGATGGCGTCGGATGAGCGGCTGGCCCGCTTCCGCCAGGCCCACCTGAACCCCTTCAACAAGAGCCCCGAGCAGCCGGAGCGCCCCGACGGAGCCTCCCCTGCCCCAGGTGGGTGCTGCTTCCCCCACCGCCCCCCCTGCCCACACTGGGGTGGGCAGCCAGCCCCAGCCCCTGTTCCGGGGTGGTCCAGCCCCCCATGAGACCCCTTTGCAGCCCAGCAGCCGGATCCCACCCCAGGGGACCCCGAGGGCGCCCTGGACCTGGGGCTGGCCGAGGACCACTTCTCCCGGCCCGTGGTGAGTGGGGAGGGCGTTGTGGGGCTGGGGGGGACGCGGGGGGCTCAGCTCACCCTCCTGCTCCTGCGGTGGTGCTGGCAGGGGCTGATCCTGGCGTCGGACGTGCCGCAGCTGCGCCGGGCCATCGAGGAGTGCAAGCGGGTGATCCTGGCGCTGCCCGAGCACTCCGAGCGACAGAAGGACGCCGTGGTCCGGCTCATCCACCTCCGCCTCAAGCTGCAGGAGCTGAAGGTGGGGCTGAGGCTGGGGCTGGGGCCCAGGGGGTCTCTGTGGCTGGGGGTCCGTGCTGACACCCATCTCTGGAAGGCTGGACCGGCATTGGAGCAGCCTGGGATGGTGGAAGGTGTCCCACCCACGGCAGGGGAGGACCTTTAAGGTTCAACCCAAGCCATTCCCTAATTCTTTAGTTCTGTGACCCCCCCTTTCCCCCTGCAGGACCCTGGTGAGGATGAGCCCAACATCCGGGTGGTGCTGGAGCATCGTTTCTACAAGGAGAAGAGTAAGAGCGTCAAGCAGATGTGTGACAAGTGCAGCACCATCATCTGGGGGCTCATCCAGACCTGGTACACCTGCACAGGTGGGTCTGGCACACCCCCTGCACGTCCCCGTCTGCCCCATGCCCACCCTGACCCCCAGCTGCGCCCCCCAGGCTGCTACTACCGCTGCCACAGCAAGTGCCTGCCGCTGGTGAGCCGGCCGTGCGTGCGGGCCCAGGTCAGCCACCAGGCCGAGTACCAGCTCAGCATCTGCCCCGAGAGCGGGCTGGACAGCCAGGACTACCGCTGCGCCGAGTGCCGGGCCCCCATCTCCCTGCGTGAGCCCCTGCTGCTGGGGGGCTGGGGGAGCAGGGCATGGGAGGGCTCTGGGTCATGGGGCTCTGTGGGGCTTGGGGAAACCAGGGCTGGGGGGGCTGGGGGGAGCTCATAGCTGGGGGCTCTGTGGGGCTGGGATGAGCTGAGGGCTCTGTGGGGTTGGGGTGTAGGGCTGGGGGGCTCATGAAGCTCTGTGGGACTGAGGGGTGGTGAGGATGAGGGGGCTGAGGGAGCCTCTGGGGCTGGGCTCCCTTGGGGGGCTCTCTGAGGCTGGGGGAGCTGCTGGGGCTGAGGGGCTGAGGGCTGGGAGGTGTGTGGGGCTGGCAGGAGCTGACAGTGTGGGCTATGGGGGCTGGGAGTCATGGGGATCTGGGGAAGGTGACACTGGGGCCCTGCCGTGTCCCCAGGTGTTGCTGGGTGTCCTGGGGGCACGCACAGGGTGTGGGCTGAGCAGAGAGCAGGGCGGTGCCCGTGCCAGCCCCGTGCCAGCCCTGTGCCACCACAGGGGGGGTGCCCAGCGAGGCCCGGCAGTGCGACTACACCGGCCTCTACTACTGCTCCAGCTGCCACTGGAACGACCTGGCCGTGGTGCCCGCCCGTGCCATCCACAACTGGGACTTCGAGCCCCGCAAGGTGCCCCTGGCGTGGGCTGGGGGCACCCTGGGTGTCACAGGAGACCCTTGGGACACTGGCCCTGAGTGGAGGCCATCTGGGGGGCCATGTCCTTGTTCGTGGGGGTCCCTGGGAAGTGCATCCCTGGGTAGAGGTGACTTGGGAGCTGTCCTTTGTCATGGGGGTCCCTGGGGGGCATGTCCCTTGGTAGAGGTCACTTGGGGGATCTCATCCCTGATCTTGCATGTCCCTGGGGACCGTGGCCTTGTGTAGATGTCACCTGGGGGACCACACCCCTGGGCATGGGGGCCACGTCCCTGGTCATGGGGGTCACTGGGCAGAGATCACTTGAGGGGAAGCCATGTCCCCCGGGCCGTGTCCCCAGGGCCGTGTCCCTGTGATGGGTCCCTGTGATGGGTCCGTGGGTGGTGGCAGCAGGGCTGGCGGGTGCTGACGGTGGCCCTGGCGGTGTTGGGCAGGTGTCACGGTGCAGCATGAGGTACCTGGCACTGATGGTGTCACGGCCGGTGCTGAAGCTGCGGGAGATCAACCCACTGCTCTTCAACTACGTGGAGGAGCTGGTGGAGATCCGGGTGAGTGCTGGGTCTGGGAGGACACCCCACAAGGACAGGGGACACCTCAGAGGGCCTGGGCAGTGAGCAGGAGGTGGGGGGACCCCAGTGGCACCCACGGGGTCCCACAGAGAGGAAGCAAGGTGGGGTGGGGGGTTTGGGGCAGAGGGTGCCCAGACTTTAACAGGGATGAACTTGACTCAGTCTGGTCTTTTTCTTGTCATGCTCCTGTCCCCATCCTCACCCTCATCCTGCCCCTACCATTGCCCTTTTCCCTATGGTCCTATTCCTGTCCCCACCTCTGTCCCCACTGCTGTATGTCCATCCCATTCCTGTCTCAATCCCCATCCTTTCCTGTTCTCACACTGTTTCCATCTCATCCTTGCCCTGTCCCCATCCTGCCCCTGCCACTGCTGTTTGCCCTGTCCTTGGGATCCCTGCCCTACACCCATTCCTGTCCCCATTCCCACCCCTGCCGTGGTGTCCCCTGCAGAAGCTGCGCCAGGACATCCTGCTGATGAAGCCCTACTTCATCACCTGCAAGGAGGCGATGGAGGCGCGGCTGCTGCTGCAGGTCGGGCTGGGGGCCAGGGCCAGGCGTGGCCTGGCGGTCACACGGCGGTGACAGTCACACAGAGGTGGCAGTCACACAGAGGTGGCACTGACACACACTCCCCCACAGCTGCAGGACCGGCAGCACTTTGTGGAGAACGACGAGATGTACTCGCTGCAGGACCTGATCGACATCGAGGCCGGGCGCCTCGGCTGCTCGCTCACCGAGATCCACACGCTCTTTGCCAAGCACATCAAGCTGGACTGCGAGGTGAGCCCATGCTGGGGGCAGAGCCGTGGGGAGACCCCCGTGGGGCCAGTGGAGTGCTGGCAGGGTCACCAGTGTCACCTTCTGCCTGCTCCCCCAGCGATGCCAGGCCAAGGGCTTCGTCTGTGAGCTGTGCCGGGAGGGCGATGTGCTCTTCCCCTTCGACAGCCACACCTCGGTCTGCGCCGACTGCTCTGCCGTCTTCCACAGGTACCGGCACGCTGGGGCGGGAGGTGGGGACGGGGGGGTGGCAGGGAGTGACCCAACACTGTCCCCCTCCCTCTCCAGGGACTGCTACTACGACAACTCCACCACCTGCCCGCGCTGCGCCCGGCTGAGCCTGCGGAAGCAATCCCTGTTCCAGGACTCCGGCACGGAGGCAGAGCCCTGAGGGGGGTCTGGCCCCACTGTGGGGTCTCAGGCCCAAGGCTGCCCCCCACCCACCACAGGGCCCTGGGATGGACACAATCAGCCCAGTGGGGGTTTGGGGACTGGGGTGGCCCCGGCTCCGGGATGCTCTGCTCATGGACGTGGCAGCACTGCCGGGAGGGAATCACTGCTGGAG